AGATCGGCATGCAATGAACTCGTAACACTTGTTTTGTGGCATGAATGACGATGAAATCGCGTGAACTCTGTCTTAGGCCTAAGAGTTTGACCTGCGCAGACGAATGTAGCTGTATAGACGCCGAAAATAAAAAGGAACACAGTACACGACGCTGCACCCACTGTGCTTCCCAGTTGCAAATGAAACAAGAGATTCTACTTCCTGCTTGTACATCTTCGGTAAAATTTAAGACAATCGAAACTGCTAATAATTTTCCACGCAATATTATGTTGCACACCAATGCTTGCATCCCAATCGCTTATAAGCGAAAAGGTCTATGATTTGGCCACTGACAATGCTCATTATGCATTTAGGAACGATGTCAGGGTAGCAGCCACTCAAGTTAAACATGTAACAAACACAACTACTACATAACTTATTTCGCACAATATTTTGGGTACGGGTTTTATAGATCGAGTGTTCCAGTGACAAAGCCGGATACAGTATTATTAGGGACAGAAAAGTAGTTTGAAAACCTAGCCATCGACAAATGAAACGAAGCCATAATCAGAACAGCATTAACGACTAACAATGATGAACTTATTCACAACACTAAAGGGAAAACCTATATATGAGCTCCATAGGAAAAAAAACAGAACAAATATTAAAGGGCCTATTGGATCAAAAACGATTTCAATATTGAAAGAACATAACCACACGTCTTGCATCAGATAATATAAGCTCAATATCTACCTAACATATGCTTATACATCAACGTCCACATCAGTAGCGGTGATCGTCTTTGCAGAATAGGGTTATAAAGATCGAACTTCGCCTAAATAGCAGAAAATTTCCCTTTTTCAAAGACGGTTCAAAAAATACAAACCTTAGTGGCATTTGCGATAATGTACTCGACTACAGAAGCAGGTGCTGCTAGAGCAGGACATAATGCTCTTGGTACTAAGGGATATAGCTCTCGTGATGCAGACAAATGTGCGCTGGCGGCCTGAGAAAGGATACTCGATTATCTGCATACATAAGATCAGGAAACACTTTGTTTTATCAAAGTGCAGATGTGAATGTAGCGTAAAATATGAACAACATTAACGCGAATACAAAGGTTTCATAGTGAAACGCTATTCCATCTCCGAACAGCGACCCGTAGTCTAGAAGCTATAATCTCAATTTTCTCACTTCTAACCTTCCATGTTGAATCTCTTTGATAAAGTTAGCCAAAATTCTTATCCGGACAAAAATAATGCTAGGTAAGTCAGACTGAACCTTCACTTTTTAAAGGTCCACATCTAATTCGAAGATTTCGACCATTGCTACACAGCATCCAATCAAGCCTTTTCACTTCAAATCAACAGCATAACAAAAAA